CCCGTGTTACATGTACGACGTTGGGTTGCAAATCCCGCGATGAATTCTCTCAATTATTTTAAATCTTGGAGTCTTTTTATCATCAAAAGAATTTTGTAGAGATCACGAACCAATCGATCTCGGACCACAATTGAAAACAAGGTTCCCACTGGTGGTCTGACACCGTTTGGTTCATGATCTCAATAAAAACTCGACAGTCTCCATAACCTTGTACCGATAATTAGTAAAAGATTCTTGATGAAGTGTGTTGCTTTGGCACTTCGAGGGAAGTGAAAAGTACTGGGCAACGCTCATTACTATCTACATTATGGGATCTCTCGCTGATACACCGGCGTTTAAATGGCTACAAGTTTTCAGTAGTATGTTTCTAATGGACCTTCAATTCGTACTATTATAAATATGAAACACCTCAGTCTCTTGTATGCACTAGGGCTTGGCAAGAACTGATGATGAAATATGGTCAGTTTGTAATAGCTTAGGTTGATTAGTTAAGAGTTGACCTCAGACAACTAAGCATATGTCAAAACAATAGAGTTCAAGTATTCATTCACTTCCTTATTTTGTATAGGCGTTATATTTCCTATCATCTTATACTAAATGTTGAGAGGCTTTGTTTGTCTAAACAAATAATCCCACGCTCCACTGTGACTGCGCGAAGATCTAGATAAAGACCTATTCACTATTTGTTTGGTTTCCTCTGTCAATAGCACGAGGGTTACCTACAGGCACCAATAGTTATCTTTTATATTCCATCATATGTAATGAGGTTAGGGTTGTGTGTGTATCGGCTAAATGTGTGTTGAGTAAAAGTAATGGACTGAGTGAGGCTATCCTGTTTCTTGTGATTAACTGCACAATTTCTCTGGGATTATGAGTTGAAAGTTTCAAGGCATGGTGTACAAGAATTAAATTGCTTACTTACAATTATTGGGTTGTCGGTCAGTTTACGTAGATGCGGGCAGTGAGATTTGCTGCTGACAGAACATTTTAAGTCAACTTTATCCAGACTTAGGTTTTTTGGTACCTTTCTTATTGCTTCTGTGTAACGAGATAGTAAGCTTACTTGTGTGTTAAAGAACGGTCGCAATCAACTCAGTGTACTTAGTTGTGGTTACAAGTACCACTAGCACGTGATGTGTAGGCTTGAACAATTGAGAAATTGTTGTGAAATTTGTATAAAAGGGTTAGTGGATAAGAACTAAAAGTCAGTGTTGAGTACATAGTCAGTGTCCAACAGAGTATTCATGTTACTTGGGTGACCACAGTAAAAAGAGGATCGGTTTGTCCATCCACGTTCAGGTGATATTCAGCCTCTAGCAACAAATTTGGATCGTTTGTTGTTACCATGACCACTGGAAAAGTCTACGTGGTTTGTGGGAGGTCTTGTTATGAATATTGAAAGGATTTATTTCACTTATAAGTCACGACTCAAATAGCCTGACTGTCGTGTGTTGATAACCGTCTATTGAGTATTTATACTTAAGTTAATATAAGTAATATGTGAAAGTGTGTCAATGTGTACGTCATAAGGCTTCTGTGAGGTTATGTAGAACTTATTTTCGTACTGATTGTCTGAGTCTTCCTATTGGCATATGTGCATCTGAGATAGATTGCCTCGAATTAGCCTTATATCATAAGCATTATATGAATAGATGCATGGTGACTAGCAGTAGAATGCCGACTCAGTGGTCTAGAGGTTAGGCGTTCAGTAAAATTAATAATTAATTTCGAGAAGTAATCATGAAATATCAACCTACATGGGTCATATATAGGTGATGAAGATAAAATGAATCTGAAAAGTTGATTTGTTTGGGTGTTACACAAAATAGTGCGTTTTCAATTCATTTTTGCATCCGTTGCTTGAATCTTCATATTAATGTGTTTTATCGGTATGTATTGTAAAGATTTTTCTGGTAAGCTCTTTTTAGCGAGTTATTTTTCTACGGAATGGGGACGCTAACCCCATGCTCAACGCTCCTTCTTTACCCGAGCTTGAAACCGGCAGTAACTCTGGAAGAGCTACAGGCGGAGTTAACAACCAGAGCAAAACTTTTTATAGGTACATGGAACGTCCGAACAATGTGGGAGACCAAGAAGACCGGTCAAATAGCAACGGAAATGAGGAGGTACAATTTGACAATACCGGGAATCAGCGAAACCCATTGGACCCAAGCTGGACAACAAAGGCTAAATACGGGAGAGATGCTGCTATACTCCAGCCACGAAGAGGAAAATGCTCCACACACCCAGGGAGTTGCTCTAATGCTGTCCAAAGTAGCGCGAAACGCACTTGTAGGATGGGAATTTCACGGATCCAGAATCATCAAAGTGTCACTCAAAACAAAGGAGGTGATCACAATGAATATTATCCAATGTTATGCACCCACCAATGATAGCGACGACGACGTTAAAGATCAATTCTATGAGAGGCTGCAATCAATCATAGAGAAATGCCCAAGAAAGGATCTCACCATTCTGATGGGAAATCTAAATGCCAAAGTCGGAGTAGACAACACCGGATATGAAGATATTATTGGACGACATGGACCGGGACAGAAAAACGAAAATGGAGAAAGATTTGCAAATCTATGTGCATTCAACAAATTAGTCATAGGAGGCACAATATTTCCACACAAGCGTATACACAAGGCTACATGGATCTCACCGGACTACACTACAGAGAACCAAATAGATCATATTTGCATCAACAAAAAATTCCGAAGGACAATGGAAGATGTGAGAACCAGGAGAGGAGCTGATATAGCTTCAGATCACCACCTAGCTGTGGCCATTTTAAAACTGGAGCTAAAGAAAAACTGGACATCTGGACAAACAGCACTACAAATGTTCAATACAGCTTTCCTTCGAGATACTGACAAACTCAGTGAATCCAAGATAGATCTCAACAACAGGTTCCAAGCCTTACAGGATCTACTGAAGGAAGAAGGAACTACCATGGAGGACAACTGGAAAAGTATCAAAGAAGCATTAACTTCAACGTGTCGAGAGGTTCTGGGTCTAAAGAAGCACCTTCATAAAGAACGGATCTCTATAGAAACACTGGACAAGATCAAAGAAAGGAAGAACAAGAAGACAGCAATTAACAACAGCCGAACACGAGCAGAGAAAGTCCAAGCACAAGCTGAATACATAGAAGCAAACAAACAACTGAAGAGGAGCATTAGGGCCGACAAGAAGAAATATATGTAAGAACTAGCAACGACGGCAGAAAAAGCTGCAAGAGAAGGTAATATGAAACAACTTTACGATACAATGAAGAAACTAGCAGGGAAATACAGTAAACCAGAGAGACCGGTAAAGGACAAAGAAGGCAAACCAATCGCCGAAATTCAACAACAGCGTAACAGATGGGTAGAATACTTCGAGGAACTCCTGAATAGGCCGGACATCGAAGCAGCACACACAGATCTTCCCATAGACGTCAACCCACCAACGAAGGAAGAAATCAGAATGGCCGTCAGACAAATCAAGAACGGGAAAGCAGCGGAACCGGACAATATACCAGCTGAAGCACTGAAGCCAGACATCGAAGTAACTACAAACATGCTCCACCTTCTGTTCAGAAAGATTTGGGAGGAGGAACAAGTGCCGATGGACTGAAAAGAAGGACACCTCGTCAAGATTCCAAAGAAAGGAGATCTGAGCAAATGTGAAAACTACAGAGGCATTGCACTACTGTCAATACCAGGGAAAGTCTTCAACAGAGTGTTGCTAAACCGGATGAAGGATGCAGTAGACGCCCAACTTCGAGATCAACAAGCTGGATTCCGTAAGGATCGGTCGTGCACAGACCAAATTGCGACATTACGGATCACCGTCGAACAATCAGTTGAGTGGAACTCATCACTGTACATCAACTTCATTGATTATGAAAAGGCATTTGACAGTGTAGATAGAAGAACGTCATGGAAACTTCTTCGACACTACGGAGCGTGGAGATATGACTGACAAGCTTATTTTGTAAATGGTTTTTAATATTATTTGTATTTGTTTGTCAATTTTTCACTGTATGTACATTTATCATTAAGTGACTGTACATGTTGTTTTAGTCAATGACCTTGAACACACTTTCCGTTGAGCTACCACATAGCGTGACATATTAGTGCTGGTTAACAAAATACATTACTACTCACGCATTCCTCGTTCTATCTTCATTTGTGATTGAGTTAACGGAAGTCTAAATCAAATACTATCTACATTTATAGACTATAATCGGAATATATCACATCCTACGTTGGACTATATCGCTAGAGAGTTCACCAACCTGCTCAGAGTCATCAAACATTTATAATTGTGGATTTACATTACTGGACCTAATCAGAACACGCAACGTTTGGGCAATTTAAGTAACGTCCCCAATTTTTATTGTATTTGTAACAATTAACTGTATATATTAATATTACTATTTATCTTTAGTAACTTTGTTTATACGTTTTGCGTTCATATTTGTCTGGTCCACCACAATTATTTGGTGGGCCTCGATTATTTTTTATAGACATTTACTATATATATCTACATAATTTTTTATTATTATTAATTGGCACGACACCATTTTGGTCTTTGACATTATGAACTCTCCTAATAAACTTATCGATATTGATAGCTCATCAACCAACCCCTTCCATTCATCACAGCCAGATGATAATGTTTTAAACTCGATCAACGCTATCTCAGAGTTAAGATTACCAACGTACGGTATTAATAATCCCAGAGTCTGGTTTGCTCAAATTAAAGCTTTATTCATGACTAGAGGCATTAGATCTCAGGCATCAAAGTATGCATACGTAGTCGGCGCACTGCCTATTGAGATCGCCGCTGAAGTTGGCGACCTGATAGATAACGTACCAGAAACGGACCCCTATGACAAAATAAAAGCCGCAGTAATCCACCGTACTTCGCAGTCTGATGAAAAACGCTTACAGCAACTACTCACCGCATGCGAGTTAGGGGACAAAAGACCTTCACAGTTGCTTAGACATATGAGACAACTAGCAGGCTCATACAAGTTAGACGAAGCATTACTTAAGCAGATGTGGTCACAAAGGTTACCACATAGCGTCAGACAAATCCTCAGCATATCAGGAGCCTCTGTCAGTCTTGATGATTTAGCAGACATGGCCGATAAGATGATAGAAATATATCCCGATAGTTGCGGCGTTAACGCGATACCATCCTCAAGTAGAGAAAACATGAGCGACGCACTCAACATCCAACAACAAATAACACAGTTAACACAGCAGCTAGCATCACTGCAGGCGACTATTTCCACCATCCGTTCTCGACCTCCCAGATCTACGTCCAGAAGGAGATCAGTATCCAGACATCGCCTTAGGTCACCTAAGCGGGCAGCCGGAATTTGTTGGTATCATTCGAATTATGGTGAGAAAGCACGTCGTTGCACAAAACCGTGCAACTTCACGACAAACAAGCCAGACCATCAGGGAAACGAAGTGGCCAGACAGTAATGGCGGCAGCTGTTACTGGCCAACATGTTAGCCGCCTCTTCCACATCAGGGATCGTATTTCTGGCTCAGACTTCTTAGTCGATACTGGAGCAGAAATCAGCATCATCCCACTTCATCTCTCACGCAGACAACATACGACAAGCACTAAATTGTCCTTAGTAGCGGCTAACGAATCAGTTATCAAAACTTACGGAGAGCAATCTCTTATATTAGATCTCGGGCTCCGCAGAAGATTCACATGGGTATTCATAGTTGCTCAAGTCAAACGACCCATTCTCGGAGCTGATTTCCTCAGTGCCTACAATTTGTTAGTAGATATGACCAAGAAGAGATTAATCGACGCAAATACACGTTTACAGGTAGAAGGTACACCTTCCAACGACTGTGAAATCCATGGTGTACGGATAATGAAGCCTGCGAACAACGTTTTCAACGACATTCTAACAGAATACCAGTGCATTACGAAATCAGATTACCAAAAGGAAGGTAACCCACAGCTGGTACAACACCATATCACTACCACTGGACCACCTATTAGCGCCAGGGCGAGGAGACTACCACCAAGCAAGTTGCAAGTAGCTAAAAGAGAATTCGAACATATGATGCAACTTGGTATTATCAGACCATCCAACAGCCCTTGGGCCTCGCCGTTACACATGGTACCAAAGAAGGACCAAGATTGGCGTCCGTGTGGTGACTATCGACGATTAAACAATCAAACCATTCCTGACAAGTACCCGATTCCGCATATACACGATTTTTCATTAAACCTACACGGTAAATGTATTTTCTCCAAACTCGACCTCGTGCGCGCATACCATCAAATTCCAATGGCACCGGAAGACATTGAGAAAACAGCCATAATAACACCTTTTGGTTTGTTTGAGTTTCTAAGGATGCCATTCGGATTAAAAAACGCTGCGCAGACATTCCAACGCTTCATGGATAACGTAACAAGAGGCCTTGATTTCGTGTTTGCCTACATCGACGATGTTCTGATTGCAAGCTCATCTTTAGAAGAGCATATCCAACATGTCCAGATCCTTTTTGATCGTTTTAAAAAACATGGCGTCGTCATCAATCCTTCGAAATGCATATTCGCAGTCCCAGCCTTAGAGTTTTTGGGACATTACATCGACTCACAAGGGATCAAACCACTTCAGACGAAAGTTGAGGATATTACTAACTACCCCGAACCAACCTCGGTTAAGTCATTACGACGCTTCCTCGGTATGTGTAATTTTTATCGCCGCTTCTTACCACGTTGTGCTGAAGTATTACAGCCATTAACCGATCTGTTGAAAGCCGACAAAAAAGGTACGAAGAGAGAGAAGAATCAAACATTCAACCTATCTCTTGATGCCAAAACAGCGTTTGAAAAAGCAAAGTCGATGATAGCTAATGCCACCATGCTACAACATCTAAATACTGACCCCACAACCCACTTAATTCTGTGTACGGATGCATCTCAGAAAGCCGTCGGGGCAGTATTACAACAACAGGTAAACAATATGACTACTCCCATAGCGTTTTTCTCCAAAAGACTGTCACCAGCCCAGGAACGCTATAGTACTTTTGGACGGGAGTTACTTGCTATCTACTTAGCCGTTAAACACTTTAACTTCTTACTACAAGGACGAACTTTCACCATCATGACCGATCACAAACCTTTATGTTACTCATTCCACACATCGTACGACCGACATTCACCTCGCGAAGCACGACAACTGGATTACATCTCCCAGTTTACGACAGATATCCAATTTGTCAAAGGAAATACCAACGTCGTAGCTGACGCATTGTCACGTAAGGACGTAAATACCCTGTTACGTAAACAAGACATCGATCTAGAAACCATCGCAAAACTACAAGTGGACGATGCAGATTTGAAGGTCTGCCAGGAGAAGTCTAACTTGAACCTTAAACCAGTACCCATCCCTTTCTCAAATACATCTATCATTTGCGATGTTTCAACGGGTAACAATCGCCCTTTCGTACCACTAGCATGTCGTCGACAGGTATTTCGTCAACTGCATGACCTTTCTCACCCAGGAATCAGAGCCACAATCAAATTGGTTACTGAGCGTTTTGTGTGGCCAAAAATCAATTCAGATATAAAACGATGGACGCGAAGCTGCCTACAGTGTCAACGCAGCAAGATTCAGAAGCACACGATCAGTCCAGTTGGCAAGTATCCCCTGCCGGAAAAACGTTTTCAACATATCCACTTAGACATAGTTGGTCCATTGCCACCATCTAATTCATTCACGCACATTCTCACTGCGGTGGACAGGTTCACAAGATGGGCCATAGCATGCCCTATTGCTGATACTTCTGCAGAAACAGTAGCCGGCGTATTCCTTGACCGTTGGATAGCGAATTACGGAGTACCTTCTATCGTCACTACCGACCGTGGTCCCCAGTTTCAGTCTATCTTATTTCAGGAATTCACAAGACTTCTGGGCGTGAACCACATCAAAACAACAGCCTACCACCCAGCAGCTAACGGCTTGGTCGAAAGATTTCACCGCCAATTGAAAAGCTCGCTGATGGCACAAGATGATACGACAAAATGGAGTGACGCATTACCACTTGTACTCCTGGGTATCCGTTCAACTATAAAGGAAGATATAGGTTGTACAGCCGCTGAGCTAGTTTACGGTACAACCCTTACATTACCAGGTCAACTAGTGGACCCAAACACTTTAACACCAACGGACCCAAGTCGTTTTGCTAGCCAACTGCTGCAAACCATGCAACGAATCAAAGCCATACCGCCTCGTGAACATAACAATCGAATACAACTCAACAGAAATCTAGAAACATGCAAATTTGTCTTTGTTCGAGTTGATGCTGTTAAAAAGCCATTGAAACAACCTTATGAAGGACCATATCAAGTAATTAAAAGAACGACCAAACACTTCATAATCAACAAGTGTGGAAAGAAAGAGACTATTGCTATCGATAGAATAAAGCCTGCTTTCTACGAAGCACAGCACGACAAAGAACATACTACTTCACTGAACCAACCCCGTCCAGCAACCACCACTACAGCAGACATGGAAGAAAAACTGAGTATCAAACCTACTTGCTTAACGCGCTCAGGCAGAGCTGTAAAAAACCCAAACGCTATGTACATTTCGCCGAATAAAAAAAAACTAAACAAACAATTACTGATGTACTATCCCATTATACTCACCCGATTTTTCCCAACAAAATCTATGATTTTTTTTCTTTTTTTACAGTGTACATAATTAACCATATTTTTTTCCCACAATTATTCGTTTTGTCACATTTTTTTTATAAAAAAAATTTGTTACAATAATAAACGAGTAAACTCTATTTAATTATTCATTTGTTGTACACACACACACAAAAAAAAGCAGTTCATTTTTTTTGGGTTCAGTAACAGTTCTGTACATTATTATCATTGTTAGCAAACCAAGATTTTAAATGACGGTATTCTCATTACTTTTGTTTGTCATGCTATGCCACATCACCGCTATTTTCACGCAATAACACACTGTATATTATTAACGTACATGTCATACGCATCTCCACATTGTTAATTGGTTATTAATGTAAATATTATTTTTTTTTTGTATAAAATTTTTCTTATTGTTATTGTAACCAGTGTTACCTCCGGACACTCTGGGGGGAGCTATGTGGAGATATGACTGACAAGCTTATTTTGTAAATAGTTTTTAATATTATTTGTATTTGTTTGTCAATTTTTCACTGTATGTACATTTATCATTAAATGACTGTACATGTTGTTTTAGTAAATGACCTTGAACACACTTTCCGTTGAGCTACTACATAGCGTGACATATTAGTGCTGGTTAACAAAATACATTACTACTCACGCATTCCTCGTTCTATCTTCATTTGTGATTGAGTTAACGGAAGTCTAAATCAAATACTATCTACATTTATAGACTATAATCGGAATATATCACATCCTACGTTGGACTATATCGCTAGAGAGTTCACCAACCTGCTCAGAGTCATCAAACATTTATAATTGTGGATTTACATTACTGGACCTAATCAGAACACGCAACGTTTGGGCAATTTAAGTAACGTCCCCAATTTTTATTGTATTTGTAACAATTAACTGTATATATTAATATTACTATTTATCTTTAGTAACTTTGTTTATACTTTTTGCGTTCATATTTGTCTGGTCCACCACAGGAGTTTCTGAGAAGATTGTCAACATTATTCGGAACTAATACGACGGGCTACAGTGCAAAGTAGTGCATGGAGGACATCTGACAGACGCATTCCAAGTGGGGACCGGAGTCAGACAAGGCTGTCTACTCTTTCTCTTCCTTTTTCTTCTAGTGGTAGACTGGATTATGAAAACCTCGACATCTGAGGGAAAACACGGAATACAATGGACAAACCAGAATCAATTTGACGATTTGGACTTCGCAGATGATCTGGCCCTCCTATCGCATACACATGAACAAATGCGGATAAAGGCAGCCAGTGTAGCAGCAGTCTCTACACCAGTAGGCCTCAGCATACACAAGGGGAAAACCAAGGTCCTCAAATTCAAAACGGAGAACAGCAATCCAAGCACTCTTGATGGAGAAACTCTGGAAGATGTAGAGTCCTTCACATACCTGGGAAGCATAATCGATGAACAGGGAGGTTCAGATGCAGACTTAAAGGCGAGGATCGGCAAAGCAAGGGTCGCATTCCTACAATTGAAGAACATATGGAACTCAAAACAACTTTCAACCAATATCAAAGTGAGAATCTTCAATACGAATGTCAAGGCAGTTCTAGTGTACGGAGCTGAAACTTGGAGAACTACTACAACCACCATCAAGAAGGTACAAGTGTTTATAAATAATTGTCTACGCAAGACACTCAACATCCATTTGCCGAATACCATCGGCAACAGCCTTCTGTGGGAGAGAACAAACCAGCTTCCAGCTGAAGAGGAAATTAGGGAAAGACGATGGAGTTGATGGATAGGACATACACTA